CCAAGCAGTCGAAGGCAAGACCACAGTTTTGCAGAAAAAGCAAATCAAGTCAAGTCACGGAAACTAACCGGATCATAAATGCTCGCTGTTTATATCCCAATAAAATGAATTCTACAATATATAAAATTATTCCGTTAGTCTACTTTTATATTTAAGTGTATATGTCTCGGTACTGGCATGAAGCATGTATGTGTGTAAACTGGAACTAAACGATCAGTGAAAATAACTGCGTAACATTTACTCACGAAAGATAACGTGAAATAGAGAATAGCTAATTTTATACTTTTATACACGTCATCGACTTTTAATTTCCTATTTACTTTTTATAGCCTAGGCCAGTGATTCCCGACCTGTGCGCCGCGGCGCCCCGGGAAGCTGCGAAATATTGTAAAAGCTTCAATTTAAGAAAATATGCAGTGATTTGCAGACTCATTCATCACATTAAATATTAATTTAATGTTAATAAAGTATAAAAAAATAATGAAGCTACACGAGTTTTATTCATTTTTATCTGTTACTTACGAATAGTCATACTTTGGATAGGGCCTTTATTTCAAGGAATACGTTCTGGATAAGGAATTATAAGCTATTGGGCCTACATTCAAAAGCGAGAAACTCTATTTGCTGTGGCAAAAACCTGATGGCCGACAGACAATATACTCTCTATGACGATTTCCGGATGGTGCGCCAAATACAGCTATGCTCAAATCGACAATCCCAGCTGCAAGACAGTCTTCCACACGGGTTTCTGTGAGGTCAATTTACGAATCGCTTTCACTTGAAACCAAAGTTCACCAAGGTTATAGGGTTCTGTTTTCCTTCAGGCCAGATACAAGAGCCGGGCAGCGCAGAGTGTCAACTGTTGAAAGGTTAGTTTACATGTTCAACTAATAAAGTGAGTAGAGTCTCATGTCGAGACAGACATCGCCTATTATCTCCGCTGCCGACGGCACAAAGAAAATCTTTACCTTCCTCACTAACCGAGACGACACTTGGGGCTACAGCTAATCCATGGGTTCCCTTTATCTTAACAACTAAAGGATGAGGATGAATCAAACTATGGACGCCGGATGCAAGTGATCCCCTCAATGTGACTACGGGGTTGAGGTAGCCAGTGCAGTACGTATGCGTTTCAAGTAAATCTTGCTACATGTTCATAATGTTAATCATTCCGATGTATTTCATTGGTTGACTCGAATGCTCATTGGTCCAATCAGTGTACAGCTTGGAACAGTTTGCAGCGCAAGAGTTGGAAAGAGTTTTCCCGCGGTACCATTGGTTGAACACGTAGGCTCTGGAGGCAACTAATCAATTTACTTGAAGAGTTAAAGAGTACGCATATTTTTAGGATAAGCTTTCAGCTGGCTGAAAGCTGGGGCCAGTAGTATGTCTTGCTGAGCCAGTTCATGGGACTTCACCGAAACACGCTCGGAGGAGTGGTTTGACCTATCTTCGCGGACAAAGACGCTTCCGGAGACATGACTCGTAAGCATGAGGAGGATGAAAATGCCTTCAAGACTGGAGAGGCCCTTGACAAGGTAAGCAGAGCGTTTTGGTGGAGTAATCTTGTTGAAAATGACATTTTGAGCCAATCTCTTGTCGCTGCAGTGTTTATTGGATAGCGGTACCTCCAGTTGTGCCTGAATTTGCCTCGGCTTGACAATTATCTCGAAGAGTTTAAGACACTGCTGTCGCTTTTTGACCGATACATTTATTGCCAATCGGAATGCAGACGGATATTATTCCCACAATTCTTAATTTTGTTTGCAAAAATCAGTGTTTTCACTTTTAAGGATGTTTCTCTTTAACTCTGGTTTGGCACCGAAAATTGCAGATACAAAATCCACGTGCATCCACGAAGCAAAAAGAAGTCTCAGGATTGCAAAATCATACACTTTTTTATATACATACAGAGAAGTTGTGGCCATATTTGCTCTCCTTCCTGCATTAACTCCACTCGTCTATATGCAGGTAAGATAGGCATAAAGCAGTCAACAAAATCATGGAATGTCTCATCAAGCTCGCAAGTTTGGGTATAAAAAGTAAGTAGAACGTAAGCCAGCCATCTTTATAGGTTTTGCGTCATTTGGTGATTGTTCGTAAGTAATGGTTTCTGCCTCTGACGTTGTCCATCACATGACGTACTAACGTTCGGCAGATTGTCATTGAGGTGGCAGGACGGTGATCCGAGGTCTTATTCGCTCAATTCAATAGTCACATGTCCGAGGAAAGCCTCCTTCGGTCTCAGGTGAAGCCATTCCATGAAGCTCTTCCACCCGCCTTTTTAGACGAAATGAAAACTATGCCAGTGTCGACTTTATTGAAATAGTTATTTTGCTCAAAATCTGCCTGTTTTGTAGATACGATGTGTAACTGGGTTTCGATGAATCTCCCTGAGTTAACATTGTTGGGGAGACTTCCATTTTGTACGAAAGTGCACGATAAATAGATTCTTTGGTTGATCCCACCTGAAGGTGATGGTCGGCATGACTTATAGAGTCTACTTGATGTTCTATAGTGAATTTGCATCATAGTATTGAAATTAATTTGATATAGGGAAATTAACCACCTCTTTCATTGCGTAAAGTCGTTATGGCAACTGTTAATCAATAATTAATTTGTGCGTCTGTTCTTGAGCATGAAATGCGCATAATGTGATGAATAGCGTCAGTTTCAAGAAAACAGCAGAAATGTTTTTAGTCCCTTTGCTGCTTGGCAGGCAAACAAAGTATAGGTTGGTGTCACGCGTCTTCTCGCCAAGTGTGTGAAAAATGGTGACATCTCATACAGCCCACTTAATGGGTTTATACAGAAATAGGGGATTAACATGAGCTAGGCCTCGTAACTAGGCTGAGAGATACAACATGATCGGCCTGTGCGGATTTAATGAACGAGATGCGATTTAGGGCAACTCCGATTTCCCAGATCTACAGAAAATCGGATTGCCGAGGAGGGTCTATATTTTGCAGAAATCAGATGCTTTAAGTAGGATATTCATACAGGAGCAGTCTAGATTCTTTATTATCATGGCTTTTGGTGGCATTTTAATCCCCTCATATCAGCGCAATAATAATACAGCACGTTCTCTTTAGTTGCGTAGGTCTTTATGCGGTTGCTGGTTTTGCGTTGTTGTATCGTTTCTAATTCCGGTTTCATTTGTGGCAATATATGCGCGGCCAGCCTAGACTTGACTTGGAAGCACAAAATGTATTCTAATTCTATCATTTCAATGCTGTTTTAGCCATTGTTTTCATCCAGACCACTTTCAGGCTGAAGGAGACTATTGGCAGTAAGTAGGAAGTGATATTTATGCTTTAAACTTAGTAGACCACTCTAATATAGACAATGTAGGCCTCATTCGAGATTTGATAACTATTGAATGCGAGAGTTGCAACAGCTAGGAAATGGTCCCTCAGCCGGAATATAACTGAGTCACAATTGAATGTGAAGTAAACTAGATGGGTCTTACTTTGCCTCAATATCAGCCCTCATTCCAGCTGATGCCGCAGCCTGAGAACACGGTAAAATATTGCGATCCAGTTGTGGCTCAGCGCTACATGCTGCCAAGTTAAATTTGATAATGAAGAAGGATTTTTCGGAACCGTGGCCTATTCTACATGGCAACAAAGTACAGCAGAAAAAAGATAGAGATAAGTAACTGTAAGTTTGAAGGTTCAAGCAAAATCCTGAGCAACAATATCCCGAAGAGGCCGGAGATTTTACAGCCTCTTTTCGCTGCATGTCTTCAACGAGACCTTTTATACTCGCTTCGTTCCATTAACTTGAAGGTAGTTCGTATGCTTCTGGCGATACCTTTTCCTGGCCTTAATGCTTGCGCCTCGTTAGGGCTTGAGACATCACTGATTTGGCAAATATCTATGCATATCTTGCAACTGATCTATTTTAATGTACACAGG